AATGAAATGACGATGTAAGGAAGTCAAACCTCAAAATCATCATCGACCAGAGAATTGATATCGTAGCTTGTAATACCATTCTGTGCATTAAGGTCAAGATGTCTTTGACACATATTATTGGCGTTCATTCTATATTATGGACGTTACCTAAATCACTTTCATTTACCTTCTGAATCACACATAGCGCAACGTTAATCTGAATTATGAGGTAAAGAACAATAATATCATGAATATGAACAAAAATGTAAATAGACAAAAGCAATCAAACAAACAAGGAACTGGGATTAATTCAGAATTTAAAGAATTTTGCTCCAGTTGAGCGGTATTGCTGCCAGACAATCTCTTGAAATAGCATCATTTACACCAAACGCTTTTGATGCAAGAATGGAATTCGGAAAGATTTGAAAAGTAGGCAAAAAATTTATTGCCTAAAAGGGAAACAATGCATCTATAATAACCACAAATCTTAATGACGATCTTTCAAAGGATGCCTTCTTCGATTCATGTGATAAATTATCAACGAAGAATAGTGTTTCTCAGGATTATCTTTAGTGCGGTCCAACCAATCAACTCTCCGAAATGCCAACAATCGCAACACACCCCCCGAACTTATCCTTTCTCAACAAATCACCCTCGCATAATTTAGATTTCGATGGGTCACTTTAGTTCGTATGAGTTGACGTTCGCAACCAACGCAACATAATTTTAATGGATCATTTTAGGGCTTGTGTCGTTCGCTATTATCATTCACATCTATCCATGTTATATTTCCATACATATTAGTGACGCTCTGCTCATAACTGTACTGCAGTATGAAGATTAATCTCAGTTAGGATGGTTAACGACAGGTTAAGATTCCTAACAATTGTAAATATCCAAATTCATCAAAAGTTGGGTTAATTTTATCTCAGTTGGTCCACCACTCTTCCTCCGTCCAACACTTCTGATCCTTGAACTGTATTGGCCACAGTATTCATCTTCAAACTATGAGATTTTTTGGGGAATCACAAGTTAAATTATGCTACCTAATTAGAAACCAAAAGCAGGAAGCAAATCCCGGGTCTTAGAGCATTCGAACTGAAGATCGCCCCTCCATTGAATAATACCTCAAAATCCAAGCAGTCATACGTTTAACCATTTGATTGCAGTGTGTAACCAGTAAGACCCATTTGTCGATGTGACAAACAGTCACATCTCGGTGGTAAGGCTGCTCAAGAGTAAATACAGTACTGACAAAAACACGGAATGAACTACAAACTTGACCTTAGCATTTCTGAAACCCACTGTTTTACAGACCTTTATTGAAACAGCCCCGAAAGCACAATGCATTTCTGCCACGAATCTGAATACATTCTTCTGGCAAACAAAATTTCTGCAACCAAATAGAATTTCCATTAAAAACATGTTGTGCGAGATTTGGAATGGAAATTAACAACATGAGAACCGGGCACGTTTCCAGCAAAATCACAATATCCTGGCCTATAAGCAACGATAACGAACGAATTCAATATTTTGATCTATGGACCAAAGTCTACATAGAAGGAAAATACAACTGAATGTATAACAGCCATCAATCCTACAAACATTTTGTAAGATTACCATAAATTATGTATCCCCTACACTATTTTTGAAGAAAACGAAGTCACTTCCAACAAGTAGTGAATTAAACTGTTATGAAGAGAAAATGAATAACATAAAAAAACGAGCTGGTAATGTAAATGACTAGTGGGGACACGATTAAACAAGAGTTTAACATTATTCAAAAAAAAGAAAAAAGACACATACACAAAGCTTCGGCATGATTTCTTCACAGTAAATAAATAAAAAATGAAGTACTGAACAGCAAACACAAGAAAGGCGGGAAGTTCATAAAAGACATTTCCAGAATTCGGGATTTTGCTGTAAACGCCGGGAAAAATTAGTATACCAACTCTGTACAGCAGAAGCTGGAATAAAGTCTGTAGATTCTCCAGGATTTTCTGACCGAGGCAAACGAACAGCAAATGACTGCAGATGGTTAATAAAATTTTGCAACATCTTCTCCGCGAACTGCATGAATGATGACTGCAATTCCAAGAAAAATTACATAGCGGTGGCTGAGGTTTGAGAAAAAAGCTGACTATATGTTCATTCTCCATCAATACATAACACCACCACTTGTAGTCCAACGTCTTTGCAGAAAAGGCAATAATACATAATATACAAAGTCGCCCGCAGACCTCTAGAAAGAGCCTCGTAATGTTAAACATCAAGCCAAGAAATCTGGTCCTGTCAGTCAGGCTTACTGTACTTCAAATTACATATTTCTTATTTGCTTAGTTATCAATCAAAACGTAGAAGTGTTTTTTCAGTTTGCTCGTTACTTTGCTATCTATGCCTGCATATATATTATCACGATCCAACCTAGCTCGTCACATTCGCTCCCACTCTGTGTTGTTTATTCCCTAAAGTTTCCAAGGTCATATCATACCTGCTGACTAGTTGTCGTTCCCTCAGCAGGAATTTTACTCGTGACAACTGCAAGTGGTTCTACACTGATACCAATTTGAGCATTGCCAGCTGTATTTCCATTGGTTGGTAAGTTTGATATGAACAGACCACCATGAACAGCATCCATTTTATGAAGCTAAAACAGGAAGATTGTACTAATCTTCAAACAAATCTCTAAGGTTATCCAGTCCTCTGTGTACTGCACTCGATGTATAATTTCCAAACATTTCAAACACAGATCTCTCAGGAAACTTTTCACTAGCTATTTCACACAATGAAATATCTGTAGTATCTGTGAGTTCACACTTCCTAGGAATTTGAATTTATACTTGAGCAACTCGAAATATAGCGCTCGGTTTATCATTTGCAATGTATCCGAGATAATGCCAGTTTGTTTCCGTTCCGATTTTTGGCCACCGAATATAAACTACAATTACTGTCATTTAATTAGAATTAAATCACCTCAGAGTTTATCCAGAGAGGAAAGGTCACAGATACATAATTTTTTCTATAGTGCGATATGTTTTTAATGCAAAGTACAGTTCGACATAAGATTAACTAAGAACCACCAGTTCAGTACAACGGACTTATAAAATTCACCGCGACAAATGTGACCACATACCGGTGCCACCCGTATCCGTAGGGAATGGTGCAACGCCCGTCAAGAACACGACAACATGATTCACTGAACCAGAACCAGCCACTTCAATAACAAATTCCGTTCCGCTCACTTGAACAAAATCTGTCTGAATCTAAAAGTTGGGCACATGAGTTGACAACAACAGCTCTATATGCCACGTTTTTAAAAGCATCCAGAAAATTAAGGGGTAACTATGACTCAATCAGAGTTCAAGCACTACGATTTGAAGCAGACATCATGCGACAGTGTCTGAGAAGTTACACATCTTTGCAATCAGTAGCTTAGCTGGAACAAGTGCCAGCATGTATTTCCTCATTTGTATGCGGTGTAACAAATGTAGAACGCCTATCATATCAGACATATTGTTGAAAAGGTACATATATCTTACCGGGCAACCAGCCACAATCACTCCGAACACTTTTAGCTGCTGATTCTCCATTTAATAATGAACAAGCCAGGAAGATACTACCATAACGACCTAAACACCATTTTAATTAATAGCATCGGTATTCCTCCTGCCTAAATGAAGATGGAGGAAAGTCGGTACAAGACTCATCAACCGTAACCATGAAATTGTCTCAGGACCAGCTCAAATTGTGGGGATTCGTACGAGTGCTTATGTTTTCCCATTTTTCACCAGCTTTGCTTTATTTCATTATGGGATGAACCAGGTTGACTAATGACTATATTTATTATGACACTGGTCAAAACTCATCCAGTTTTGTGAGGAAAAAATTACGAAAACACCGTACCAGTCATTGAAAATGTTTGGCAACTATGCGCTATATACAACTACTCAAAGAAAATATCAGATGCTGTTCTTATCTGATTTTCTCTATTTTCCAATCAACAATCACTACTCACAGTTGCGCTTACAATTACTTCTCGTCTTTCAGAATACTACCAGAGTAATTTAACGTATTCATGTAAATTTATAGTATATCCTCATCAAAGTTTAGAAGTTGAGAGTTGTTTCAATTGTGCCCGGTAAGAATGAAGTAAATGATCGGAAGACAGTATTTCGAATAAATTTTTCGCAACACTAGAGATATTGAAACGAAGAAAAATAAATGGTTATTATTACGCCCATAACCTGTTTAAATAACCGACTTAGCTCGCAAACATAGTATTTGTATTAACCCGCAAGAATTGTTGGAAGATTTGCTCTCCGTGTCACTGAACTTGTCAAATAATTTATTTATAATCAACAAAATTCAATCCTTTTCTGTTTTTGGTGAATTAATTAATTACCGCAACATTTATAAAGACTTAATTTAAAAAAATGAAAGTTGTTTCAGAACGATGACAGGAAGGAAAGGGAACTTTTCTTAACACTAATAGACTGAAATATGATTCGCCGAACTATTTTTCGAAAGAAACCTTCCAACAAGATATTAATTTCATAAACCGGCAATTGGTTACTATTTTCATCAGTTTGGATTAAATGATGATGATGAGTGTATAGGTAGACAGTTTTGCTAATCATTTTAAAAGTAATATAAGTATCATCCCTCGTTTGAGTGATGCTTCCCAACTCTCTCATTTCCTTCTCAAGATCTTTTTCCATCAGCTATTGGACATCAGCTGTCTTATCTCTATCATCAAACCAGTCCATTGCAATAAAAAGCATCTTTTTTATGCATGCAAATTATCTCCATAAGTTCTACAAATGAATGAAATAAGCTCTCGATAAAAGAGCATTGTGACTGTCTAATGTATTGCTGATATTTATCAGAATAATTTTGTAAGAGAGGATAGTTATTGATTTCTTAACGATAGATAATTCATTGGAAATGGACTATTCAGGAACATGATTGGTCAATCTCGCGGTATAAATATGGATCTTTATCGAAGCTTAAATTTGTTTTGATTGCTTCTGGTGTTTATAAAGTCATAGTTCCAAATTCATAAGAATATCCTTAAAGAATAATTCCATATTTCAAAGTTTTGAATCGCTTTGCTAGGCTAGGATAATTTCAAATTATGCTTTCTCGAAAACATTCGTAATTCAAACGCAATTTCTCAAATTTAAGAGTTTACTGAAGTGTAAATTGTTTTATGCATTCTATTTTTCACTGTTACAGATTAAAGATTAACTATTGTTTAATCGAATAAAAACATTAATGTTTCATTGGGCATCTGGTAGAACTTGTCATCAGCAGATGAGCTGTCAAACAAATCATTGGGTACCCCAGAAAAAAGCAGAAGAAAGATTGAATGATTTGAAATAATAAACTTTGTTTCAAAAATCTCGATCTTCGAAAATACTGCAGTGGAAGGAAGGTTGGATACAGCTTCATTTGAATTCCATGTTACAAAAATTAATTTGTTCTACTGGTTTTTCCCAGGATGCTGGGAACCATTCTTGAACGACCGATTCAGATCTAAAACCAACACAAAAGTATCGAAAAGACCATAAGAACTGAAAATGTGTGTGAATGAAAATGTGTGTGATATTCCTGCTTGATGTCAATCCCAGAAAAATGACCCGAGAATGAAATTAACATGAACTGTTGTACCTTAGCACACTACCCTCTATCTGATGACAAAGTTATATTTTACAGCACACCCTTTTGGAATTCGAAACATGATCGGAACACTTGGTAACTTTTTACTTGCAAGTTCAAATTTCAACTCAAAACTGTCTGAAAAGTGTAGTTTTATCTAAAATTCAACAGGTGAGAGAAAACAAATGACGAGAATACCATGAGTGCAAAAACAAAGAGATTCAGATAGCTATAACTTATATAACGGGAATATGTCTGGGTGTCCCATCCGCACGGATCGTATAATTGTTTACTTCGCACTTTTAATGAGAATAGCAATTAGTCTGAGGCATGGTTTTCGAAAATGGTAAATCCGAGTAGATTAGATACTCAAACAAATTCAAAATCTTGTATTACAGTTCAGTATTTCTTTACAGTACTTCGATACACCTAGGAAGTGACTAAATAATATTGCATCTATATCGCCTAAAATGACCCGATAAGATAATCATCACTAGTAATATAACTATCGCCTCTACTTTACCATGTTTTTTTCTTCTCTATTATGCCATATGAATTTTGTAAATTTCTTTATTGAATTCTGAAGATTCTTCGAACAAAAAAAAATCTTGAAAATTTGATGTGACAGATAATAGCGTAATTATTCATCTTTAACTCTTATTTATTGTGAACTTTTTGGAAATAGTTTTAGAAATTTTCGTCACTGAGTGAAACGACTGATGAATACAGCAGAACGTGGTGGACATGGACAATATGCTGCATCATTTCCTGGAAGGCCGGGTCCGCCAGGTAATCCAGGTTTGCCTTCTTCTCCGACAAATCCGTCTTTTCCTGGAGGGCCGGTTGGTCCTGCAGGACCCGGTTGTCCATCTGCTCCTTTTTCGCCATCTGGACCAGGGAGACCAGGAGGTCCTGGTGGTCCGGGTGGTCCCTGAGATCCTGGTGCACCTTTTCCTTTCTCTCCGTCTTTTCCGGGTGGGCCTGCTTCACCAGGTGGTCCCATCGATCCTGGTTTGCCCGCATCACCGATTGGTCCTGGTGGTCCAGCTTTACCTTCGCTTCCTGCCGGTCCTGGCAGTCCTGGTTCACCATCGGGTCCTGCTGGTCCTGCCTCACCATCCAATCCTGGCGGACCAGCTGGGCCTGCTGGACATTTGATGCAAGTGGTGTCAGCAGGAGGACATGTCACCGGTGCATATGTTACTGTATTGTCTTCTCCGGGAGGTCCAGGTGGCCCAGGTGCTGCAAGTTATCCAAATAGATATCAGATTTTATAATAGAATTTATGAATGTAAAAGTAAAAAAATAAATCGTTAATGTTCCGAAGTGAAAGAAATTGTGTATAATATATATATAAGCAAAATATATAAAAGTGTATATATAAGCAAAATTCTAGTTAGGAACAATAGTGCACACACTATAATTTGTGGATTTATAAGGATATATAAAAACTTACGCCCATCTTTTCCTGGTTCACCGGCCGGACCGGCTGGTCCAGGAGGACAAGTGATCTTGATCGGTTCACAGTGACAGTAATCCGGCAAACCCGAGAAATCCTGTCTTTTCTTACGGAAAATGCTTTTAAAGGGGTTTTCACGTGGTTTACTCGGTGGTGTCACGCTAATTTGTACGTCCATCAGCTCGGTCCATGCTGAATCGGTCTCGACACGAAAAACTTGAACTCCATCTATCACCGCATCATGTACCTATCAAAAATTCTGTGTTCTCAAAATAAGTTGGAACTGAAGTCTAAGGCAATTTCGAGTCAGCTTTCCTGGTAGAATTCTAAATGCAAACGAAGTGGACATATTGCACTGCCTGAACCAAACAGTGAGAAATCACTAATCTTGTGTCTTTCTATATTATATTCATGATAAAGAACAGATTTTCAAACTGGAACAGATTATTTTGAATTTTAGTGACTCAAATATAGAAATTGGCATCAATAGCTTGTTTCAGTTGTAATTAGGTTTACCCAAATTCTGAATTTCAAAATTTTTTCATGACAGAAAAAGAAAATACGAAGGTGTGAAAGATTAATGTTCTCCAAATCCCTAACATCGTGAAAAAAAAAAAAGATCTTTTTGTGGGTTATGAAAATATTCCTTTTTGTGGGTTATGAAAATATTCACCTGCGATGACAAGGCTAGTCATTTACCAGTGAGTACTCTTCCATTACAATCAACTTATTGCTACGGAATAAATTTTAAATTACTAGCTTCAAAGTTTTCAAAAAGTTAATTTTTTCAACGTTATCCATTTCGAATTCCGCATGATTTCAAAAGTTCGCATTCAATAAAATTTGGCTTGATAGCAGATTAACTGCATGTGCTGTGGGCAGTGGTTTTGGAAAGGATAGAATCCTTAAATTCCTAAGCAGTCAATTACGTTTAGTTGGAAACATTACGAACCAGGAATAGAAATAGAAGTGAAAATAAAAGAACACAAACAAGTCCTGTTCGTTAACGGAAAGAATATTTCTATGAAATATTTAACAAGCTTTCAGAAAGTGGAATGAAATTGCCTTCTTAAACTTGAAATAATACCTAAACTTATGATTCTAACAACGAAGATTCGCAGCCTAAAAGCGGTAACTAAAAGTGGTAACCAATATTACTCCGCTGACCGAATTGTAAAAAGTGCCCAGTTGCATCAACTGAGTGATAAGCGAGATGAATGGAAATAGTATCAAATTTTTGTGAAGGAAGTTAAAAGTGATAATTAGGAAGAGTCACCTCATTGATAGCGTTGTAGAGTGATGGTATCACCACCACACATGATAAAATTGCCACGGCACTGCATGCTGCAGCAACCAATGCGATGATTTTCGCCTCATGCATGATTTCTGAGAGTGCTGTACGACTGCTTCAGCTATCCTATTTTATAGCATTTTGAGGCGTTTCATTCTTTTGTCCGTCTTTTGCTCTCCGCCCCGAAAATCTAACGACGATTTACCCTCATCTCAAGGTCCTCCCACTTTCTACCACAAATTAAACTAACCAACCCCATCTCTTCTCTCATTTTTTGTTCAATTTTCAA